AAGGAGGGGGCTTTGTAGAAAACGAAGCGTTTGAGAGAGGCGGGGCATAGAGGACCTACAATAATGTACAGTATTTGAAAAATAATGTGTTTTTTGAACATTAAAGCATGTCAACATATTCTGTTACACCAAATACACAAAATAATGATCTTTAAAAAAGCATCATATGACCCCTTTAAAAAATCTGCCAATGGGGTAAGAACAATAATTTTAATTCAAAGGGAAACAATATTATTTTTCTTGCCCCGCTAGCTTTTTTTTTTTCTTTCAATTTAAGCAAAAACATACATAATTTTGATACATTTTGCAGAAAACAAAACTTAATATGTTAAGTCATTTTGGTAATCAAGTGAATGTATCTTGAATACAAATAATATTTAGATATTTGTACTGGAAAACAAGTTTAATAAATGGTTATACTGCACATGAGATGATGCATTATGGGTACTGATGAGGCTGTCTGTGCTTTAACTTTTTTAATGGCACACACTCTTACAAAAACATTGCACTTATGTGAAACAGCAGACTCAACTGAAATGCGTCTGGCTAGTGCATATTTACATACACCCAACGATTAAAAATAGAGCGCAAGCAGCGCCTCACCTGCTGTTTCACAGCACAGTGAACATAGAGTGTCTGTGTGGAAATGACTGTTTTATAGGAGTTCCCAAGACCATTAAATGCGCCCACGAGCGCGCCGTCAAACTCTTCACCGACTCCCTCATCAACGCCAGCCAGCCCATAATAGGCTACCGTTGCCGTGATGACAGCGCCTTCAGCAGAGGCCTGTGTCTGGACTGCAAGCAGCTGCGCTGTAACACACTGGGCTTCGCTGTGCGGCACGATCGATCAGGGAGGAGCGCTAAAGGCCTGTTCCTCAGAACCACACCGCAGCCGCCCTACAGAGGTGTGTGTGTGTTTGTGAGAGTGTGTGTGTGTGTGTGTGTGTGTAGAACCTGATCGAGCCGCTCGAGGCCTCGCTTTCCGTCACACTCAGCGGCACCGGAGGAGAGAGCCCAGAGCTACCCATAATCCTGTGAGTCACAGAGATAACTATACATGATAAACAAGAGCTAATGACCAGATATATATGACATATATATGGGTCATTCTACAGAATGAATAATGTTTAAAATAATAGAAAGCTTAACATATATAGGAAATCATCATTTAAAAGTCTGAAAAATCTGTGTGTTTAAAAAGGAACGTCACTACCGAACACCTTTTTCTACAATTAAGTACGAAAATTAGCCATGGTTTTACTACGAATAAAACCAAAAATCATTTTTGTAGCCATGGTAACCACAAATTAAGTGAAGTTTTGTTACTTCAAATAATAAATAATTGCTTAATTTTCTTTTGCATGATTTCTGAATGCTTGAGACTATAAAATCAATCAGACAACTGTATCAATAAAATCATAGCTATAGGTAACTACAAGTTTTGGTTAAAATTATCACTACCAAAACAGTCACTACTGAAACATTTGGTGGAGTTTCGGTAGTGACATCTTTGCTTTGGTAATGACAATTTTATGGGAACACCCTAAAAAAACAGTCACCTTCTGAAACATTTGGTGGTTTCGGTAGTGAAATCTTTGTTTTTTGGGAGTTATCCCATAAAATTATCACTACCAAAACAGTCTCTACCGAAACATTTGGTGGAGTTTCGGTAGTGACATCTTTGCTTTGGTAATGACAATTTTATGGGAACACCCTAAAAAAACAGTCACCTTCTGAAACATTTGGTGGAGTTTCGGTAGTGACATCTTTGTTTTTTTTTTTGGGTCTTACCCCATAAAATTGTCACTACCGAAACAGTCGCTACCGAAAATCTGGTAGAGTTTCAGTGGTGAAATCTTTGTTTTTTGGGAGTTATCCAATAAAATTGTCAAAACCGAAACAGTCACTTCCGAAATATTTGGTGGAGTTTCGGTAGTGACATTTTTTTTACATTTACATTTCATTTAGCAGACTCTTTTATCCAAAGCAACTTTTTTGGGTGTTTTGGGTGTAAATGTAAATGTAAAAAACAAAGATGTCACTACCGAAACTCCACCAAATGTTTCGAAAGTGACATCTTTGTTTTTAAATTTAAATTTATATTTATTCATTTAGCAGACGCTTTTATCCAAAGCAACTTTTTGGGTGTTACCCCATAAAATTGTTACTACCAAAACAGTCACTACCGAAACTGCTGGTGGAGTTTCGGTAGTGACATTTTTTTTTTACGTTTACATTTCATTTAGCAGACGCTTTTATCTTAAACAACTTTTTTTTGGGTGTTTTGGGTGTAAATGTAAATGTAAAAACAAAGATGTCTAACGAAACTCCACCAAATTTTTCGGTAGTGACACCTTTGATTTTTACATTTATTCGTTTAGCAGACGCTTTTATACAAAGCGACTTTTTTGGCTGTTTTGGGTGTTATCCCATAAAATTATCACTACCAAAATAGTCACTACTGAAACATTTGGTGGAGTTTCGGTAGTGACATCTTTGTTTTGTTTTTTCGGTGTTATCCCATAAAATTGTCATTACTGAAAAAGTCACTACTGAAACATTTTGTGGTTTCGGTAGTGAAATCTTGTTTTTTGGGAGTTATCCCAATTTTATGGGATAACACCCAAAAAACAGTCACTGGCGAAACATTTAATGGAGTTTTCGGTAGTGACATATTTGTATTTACATTTTTACATTTAATCATTTAGCAGACGCTTTTGTCTAAAGCGATTTTTTGGGTGTTTTGGGAGTTATCCCATAAAATTGTCACTAACGAAATAGTCACTACCGAAACATCTGGTGGCGTTTCGGTAGTGACTTTTTTTTAACGTTTACATTTCATTTAGCAGACGCTTTTGTCCAAAGCGACTTTTTGGGTGTTATCCCATAAAATTATCACTACCAAAACAGTCACTACTGAAACATTTGGTGGAGTTTTTGGTAGTGACATTTTTGTATTTATATTTACATTTACAGTAATTCATTTAACAGATGCTTTTATCCAAGGCGACTTTTATGGGTGTTTTGGGTGTTATCCCATAAAATTGTCACTACCAAAACAGTCACTACCGAAACATTTGGTGGAGTTTTCGGTAGTGACATCTTTATATTTACATTTACATTTATTCATTTAGCAGACGCTTTTGTCCAAAGCGACTTTTTGGGTGTTATCCCATAAAATGATCACTACCAAATCAGTCACTACTGAGACATTTGTAGGAGTTTTGGTAGTGACATCTTTGTTTTTTGGGAGTTATCCCATAAAATTGTCATTATCTAAACAGTCTCTACCGAAACATTTGGTGTAGTTTCGGTAGTGACATTTTCTTTTTTTACATTTACATTTATTCATTTAGCAGACGTTTTATCCAAAGCAACTTTTTTGGGTGTTATCCCATAAAATTGTCACTACCGAAGCAGTCACTACTGAAATGTTTGGTGCAGTTTCAGTAATGATATATTTGTTTTTTGGGAGTTATCCTATAAAATTGTGACTACTTAAACAGTCACAACCGAAACATGTCATCATTGTTTCAGTAGTGACAAAAGGGAACACATAATCCTCATATTTGGGGGAAATAAACTAAATTTTAGTACAGTTATGCAATTTTTTTTGTATGTTTTAGTAGCGCTTTAGTATGCAAATTAAAATTCTGTAATGAGATGTGGTTGCTACAAAAGCATTACTGTCACTACCGAAAATGTGCAGTCACTACCGAAACATGGGATGTTTTGTCAAAAATAAAGTATACTGAATTATCAGCTAAAATGTTATGATATTGTTTGGTTCAGTGTATATTCAAACTAATGAATCCTTAACTTTGAAATCAGTATGATAAATTTTTTGCCTTTTACAAAGAAAAATTGGGTTCAAAATACAACAAATCTCATAAATAGAGTTGAAATATTGTTAAAAATGTAATTGTTATTCATTTAATTTTAAAATTCAAGAAATGTTTTATTTTTTCATAAAATAGCAAAAAAAATATTTACAATGTAGATGTAAGCAAAATCTTAATAGGTCAATATAACCCTTCTAATTAAATTCTTATTACTTTGTTTCGGTAGTGACAAATATGGGGAGAGGACAAACATTCCAAAACTTTCTGAAGATGCAATATGAGAATTAACTGCACAATTACTAGAAATGTGTACCTTGGATATTATACAATTTGCATACATACACATTTTTTTGGAAAAAATAAATTTTTTCACGACATTTTCAACTCTGACTTTGAATCTATATATATATATATTTATATATATATATAGATAGATATATTAGCAAAATTTTTTTTTATTAATTTAAAAACATAAAAAATATATTTAAAAGCATTTAAATTATATTTTGCCCTATATATATTTTTATTTTTTTGTTTCAAGTTAGGGTTAGGGTTGTAGATTTTTTTTAAAAACATGATTTAAAAATATCAATATATATATATATTTTAAAGCATATAAAACATATTTTAACATATATTCATGTAAATATTTATTTGCCAATTTTTCTAGTCTTGAAAATATATATAAAAAAAACATTTGTTTTTCACAAACATGTTAATCACATTTTTTTTGGA